ATGTATGTGATGCCCACCCCGATGCAGCATGGAATGATATCCGAAAAGCTGTGGAAACAGCAGTGATATCTGCTAGTAAGGTAAACCAGAAGGTTAGGGAGCAACACTGGATCTCAGCAGCATCTATCTCACTGATAGATGCTCGGAAACACATTCCACCTGGCTCTGAACATAATGAAGAGCGGAGTCAGCTTAAGCGCAAGCTGACAAGAAGTCTACGCAATGATCGCGAACAGTGGTGGGTAGCGAAAGCAAGAGAGATGGAAAAGGCAGCGGCAATAGGTAATAGCAGACAATTGTTCAGACTCGTTAAGGAAACCGGAATTAGGAACCCGACCGTTAGCGAAACAATCTCAGAGAAAGATGGACATATTATTCATTCTCAATCCAGGAGATTGGATCGATGGGCAGAACACTTTAGGGATCAGTTCAACTGGCCTTCAGCCACACTTCGGTTTCCCACGATCTCCAGTCAACCTGAATGGCAAGTTAATGTAGGTCCTCCGTCCCTTTACGAAGTTGAAAAAGCCATAGGAAATCTGAAACGAGGGAGAGCAGCAGGCCCTGACAGGTTTACTCCTGAGATTTTTAAGGATGGTGGTCCAGTATTAGCAATGAGATTAACTGAGGTCTTAGGTAGAATTTGGGAACTGGACGTAATCCCATCTGACTGGTCTCAATCACTGATTGTGCCAGTTTTTAAGAAAGGACAAAAGTCCTCTTGTGACAATCACAGAGGAATCAGTTTGACTAATATAGTGTCTAAAATATTAGCTTCAATAATACTTCGACGCCTAACTAAAGCTCGTGAAGAGCAGACTAGAGAAAACCAGGCTGGTTTTCGACCTGGACGTGGTTGTATAGATCAGATATTCACACTACGTCAGGTTCTAGAACACAGACACACATTCAGACGCCCCACAATGGTAGTATTTCTCGACCTTAAGGCGGCATTCGACTCTGTTGATCGTGAGGTTCTATGGCAGTGTTTGTCACTGAAAGGAGTACCAAAGAAGTACATTAACCTTATAAAGGCTCTCTACTCGAACACAACTGGTCGAGTGAGAGCTTATGGCGAACTGTCATCAGAATTGATTACCTCAAGTGGTGTTCGTCAGGGCTGTCCACTCTCCCCATTCTTGTTCAACTTTGTGGTCGACGTACTTTTAGAGATAACACTCTCCTCATCTAAATTTACAGGGGTTGAACTTCTACCAGGAGGTTCACTTGTTGACTTAGAATATGCTGATGACATAGTTTTATTTGGTGAAGACACTGACAAAATGCAGAGTCTTCTGACCACTCTAAGCAACAATGCAAGCATGTTCGGGATGCGATTCTCTCCCTCGAAATGCAAAATGTTGCTTCAGGATTGGGTTACATCGACACCCGAACTAGTGATAGGGAGTGAAGTAGTTGAGTGTGTCGACCGCTTCACTTATCTTGGAAGTCTCATCAGCCCTTGTGGTTTAGTGTGTGACGAAATCTCAGCACGGATACAGAAGGCTCGACTAGCTTTTGCCAACTTGCGTCATTTATGGCGTAGGCGAGATATCCGTCTATCAACCAAAGGACGTGTTTACTGCGCAGCAGTTCGTTCCGTCCTACTTTATGGCAGTGAAACATGGCCGGTAAGAGTAGAGGATATCCGTAGGTTACTAGTATTTGATCATAGGTGTCTTCGAAACATTGCTCGTATATCATGGGACCATCGAGTAAGTAACACAGTTGTTAGGAAACGGGTACTAGGTAAGGATGGCAAATCAATTGATGACGTAGTGAAACTTCATCAGTTGAGATGGCTGGGACACGTGTTACGTATGCCCAACGACCGACTGCCTCGACGTGCTATGTTCAGTGGTATAGGAGTAGGTTGGAAGAAAGCTAGGGGCGGCCAAACCAAAACATGGCACAAGTCCATGAAGTCACTGACAAGTGAACTGAGTCATGTTGGTAGGTGTAGACTACCTGGTTGGGGACCGCGAGATGACAGCAACCGATGGTTAGAGACCCTGAATGACATGGCTCAAAATCGTTTGCAATGGCGCAGGTGCATCCACTCTCTGTGTTCTCCCAAATTCTAATCTTCTGAATTCTTCATGTCCCTTTTTTCCTCTTTCCAAATTTCTTTCACTGGATTATACTCTTTAAATAACATCTCCAAACCCTAATCTTCCCGATTACTGCTTATACTCTTATTACCTCTACCACTACGGGATTTGAATCGACAACTGCATCTCTGTGCTAATGTGGTGTGGCAACTCGAACTGATGTACGTACGTACGAAGTTCTACGTTGTTACTGACTGACTGACTGATTAGTTTAACTAATATAATATCTAAAATACTAGCCTCGATAATTATCAGACGCCTAACTAAGACTCGTGAACTGCAAACACGAGAGAATCAAGCTGGCTTTAGACCTGGTCGTGGCTGCATCAACCACATATTCACCATTCGTCAGATTCTAGAACACAGGCATACTTATCGGCGTCCGACAATGGTGGTCTTTCTTGACTTAAAAGCAGCATTTGACTCCGTAGACCGCGAGACTCTGTGGCAGTGTCTGTCATTGAAAGGCGTACCCCAAAAGTACATAAACCTTGTAAAGGCTCTTTACTCGAACACTACTAGTCGAGTCAGAGCTTATGGCGAACTGTCATCTACCTTTGCAACCTCAAGTGGTGTCCGTCAAGGCTGTTCACTTCCCCCATTTTTGTTTAACTTCATCATAGATCTACTGATGGAAATAACTTTCTCGTCGACTGAGTTCTCGGGTATTGATCTCCATCCAGGAGGTCCACTTATCGACTTAGAATACGCAGATGACATAGTCCTGTTTGGTGAAGACGCTGACAAAATGCAGAGTCTTCTGGTAGCACTGCGCAACAATGCCAGAATGTTTGGAATACGTTTCTCTCCCTCTAAATGCAAGTTGTTGCTTCAGGACTGGTCCGCGTTAACACCTGAACTAAGGATAGGGAGTGAAGTAGTCGAACGCGCTGACAACTTCACTTATCTTGGAAGTCTGATCAGCCCTAATGGGTTGGTGTCTGACGAAATCTCAGCACGGATTCGAAAAGCTCGTTTGGCTTTTGCCAACTTACATCACCTGTGGCAAAGGCGAGATATCCATCTATCAATAAAAGGACGAGTATACTGCGCGGCAGTCCGTTCTGTTTTACTTTACGGCAGCGAAACATGGCCATTAAGAGTAGAAGACACTCGTAAGCTACTAGTATTTGACCACAGATGCCTTAGAAATATTGGTGGCGTCTGCTGGGATCACCGGGTAAGTAATGGTGAGGTTAGACCCAGGGTATTAGGGAAGAATGGTAAATCAGTCGATGAGGTTGTGAATCTTCATCGACTGAGATGGTTGGGCCACGTGTTACGTATGCCTGAATACCGATTACCACAACGTGCAATGCTATCCGGTATTGGAGATTGTTGGAAGAAAGTTAGGGGCGGCCAAACCAAAACGTGGCATCAGTGCTTAAAATCACTAACTTCTAGTCTGAGCCATGTGGTAGATGCAGACTACTTGGTTGGGGTCCGCGTGACTATCGTAACCAATGGTTGGAGACTCTTGGTGACATGGCTCATAATCGATCACAATGGCGTCGGTGTATACACTCCCTGTCTTCCTTTAAACTAAGAGATTAAAATCGCTTCATATCTTTCTTTTTACGAACCAATTTTTTCTTCTTGTACTATATATCTATATGCAATCTTTCTTTTATATGTTACCACCTTTGACCTAACTACTGCTATGAATCCGGTGTTCATCTTGTTGTGCTGATGCGGTATGGCAACCTGGACCGATGCACATATGTGCCTGGTCCTACGTTGTAGCTGACTGACTGACAGACCCGCTTGGGCGTTGAAACCCTCCACCACAATTATTATATATGAGCTTTTTGTTTTTAGAGGAATTCAGTTATTACATGGGACTTCACAATTGTATATGAACCCGTTATCCCACTACACGAGCACAGTGAAATGAAGTTGACAGGATGAATACTATAGTGACCTAAATGATGACACTATTCAGTAGTAAAATACCAAGGACTGAGAATATCATTTTAGAAGAAATAAGGGGTTATAAAGTATAGAGTAATTTTGAAACTCATAATATAAGGGGATATAAGAAAAGTAGTGATTCTCCACTGTTGTGACCACTTTTGAACTACACCACCTTATGTGTACAACCACTAATCATGATTATCGCGTGAACCTTGACCTGGTACTGTGCACCTATCAACATGCTTCAGACCAGTAGTTAATGACTTGACAGAGTGATACCACATCTTGGTATAATATTTCCTATCATTTTTCTTACTACTCCATCAGGCAATACGGTAAGTAGTGGTTATGCTAAACCTCTCAGTTGGTAGAAATTCGCATCGAAGGGACTTGAGTTTCAGTAAAACTCATCTTTGGTCTCGTTCGAGCTGTAATCAACGGGAATGTATGCAGAGTGTATCCTTATCCTTCCAAGTTTTTGCTGCTCACCGAATTATGTAGCACAGTAAAAACTACTACTGACACCGAAAATCTGCGTAAGGACAGGGTTTTGGAGATGTTAGTTGTCCTTGGAAAACATCTTACTACCTTCATAGAGCTTGATTGCGTCATCAGAACTGGCAGATGAGACCACTACGTCAAAATAGCAGCACTTATAATAAGAACTGGTTTATGAAATACCCAGGTCAAATATAATGATTCCCATTTTTCGTTTTTATGAACATTTCTCAAGCTTTGGTCTCTAATATCAAGTGTTCATCAGGAGTTTCGCAATTTTCTGAAAGTAAATTCGCAAGCTGGTTCAAATGAAAACATGATTAATTTTGATAATCCCGTACTTCATTATGTAATCTTGTCAAAATATAGTTAAAGAAATACGTCTTCGTGTGTAAATGTACTAGATTTAGAAATATTTCATCATGATAATTTAAATTTTCTTTAGAAACATACTATTTGTCCAATTTTCATTCTTAGCGGTTAAACATTATCACTTACCCGTCGAAGATTTAACCTCTGCAAGCTTGCCTGTTATTCAGAAAGCAATTGAAATTATCAAACGAGCTGAAACAAATAGTGAAGTAAGCTCTAATTTACATTTGAAGAGAAGTCTTTATTATGATATAAAGTCGGTTTATAGTCCAATAAATATTTGCTTTATACTATTAAAATAATTAGCTCCTCTGACAAGTTTGAATAGTGTGATGAGAAGACAAAGGTTATCAGGATTATGTGATATATTTGCGCAGTGCATCTCGAACAATCTGACCACACATTTACTTATTAAGAGATTATGTATAAAAAAATAGGTCAACCATAATAATTAGAATGTAAAAGGAAGCAAAGTTAATAATAATGTACGCGATGTGAAAACCAGTCTAGACAACAAATCAGTATCACGGGGGCGGGTTAAGAGTAAGAACAAATTGTTTTTGAACACGTAAAACGGTTTCAGTTTTCGCGTAGCCAAGGATTCAATAAACCTTAGTATACGCTCTTGAACACTTGTATAATACTACAAAGGCTGACTTGATATCCACCTTATGACCGGCTTGCCAGGGCGGAAATCACATGCGTAGACTAAGTCATCTGCTTTAAATTCTCGAATCTTCGGGCAATCCTCTTTCTAATTTTTTGGTAGTCCACTCATTCTGTCTTTCGGGTTCAAAACATCAAAAAATGTTCGGCCAAATATTGTTTCGGCTGGTGATTCAATCATATTGCAAACAGTGCTCAACTGCAGGCCCCATAAACCAAATTCATCCATACATTCAATACTTAATAAGTTGGTATGACAGTTTCCAGTTACATAACATTTCCCGATCATAGTCTTGTCACCTAGTGTGAGAGGCAGCTGCATTTCTCCGAGAAGAGTAATGCCAATTCCCGTCGCGCTCTTAGCATTATAATGTGTAAGTTGATATTGAGGTTGATCAAGTTTTATCCAAGTCTCTCTAGAAATTAATGTTTTGTCAGACTCCGTACCAATTTGGAGCTTAACCGGTTTTACCATTAAAAAAAGATAGTTACGTACTTTCTTTTAGATGAAAATTGAGCACCTTTTGTGACCAGAACAACATTCGAATTATGTGGTATCTCTTTTTACGTCTGCGTCTTATTTCCTTTACGAAACTTATACTGATGGTCGGCAATCTTTTTCTCACTTTTACAACATACTTTCGCCTGACCATATTTACCACAAAGGAAACAAACTCCTTTTTTAAAATAGCGAACATCAGCAGAATGACGCTTACCGCATCGCCAACAACACGTTTTGGGTTTGATTTGATTTGGGATTCGCTGGAAGTATGGATCTTTATTTCCATTAAAAACATTCCTCAACGTTTTAACTTCCACGTGTTCACTGTTCCTTTCTACTAGATTTGTGTCATGCTTCAAATTAACCATTCTTTGACATTCTTCAGATACTGATTGCAGACTAATATTAGGGTCTTGTTCGATTCTCGCTAAAATCCGTGTTCTGATATCTGCATCTATTGCGGATTGTAACCCACAGACAAAAGTAAGGCATTTAAACTTATCTGAGGACATTTCCTGTAAACGAAACCGCTCACATTCCCGGTTCACAATTCTTTCATACGTCATATAATCGTCCTGTGGTTTTTTACAAGCTGGAGACACTGGTGTGAAAAACTGATGATCGTTCAACAATTGTACGTGTCAGACACCCCACTGTCTCTCCGAAGTTTATGTCCATTAGCTTCTTTGGGAGGATGAAATGACAGAACTCATGTTAAGACACCCGAACTTCCGTAATAGTAATCTCAGTTTTGAACCTTTGTCCCACTCTTTACAATCATTAGTAAACAAATCCTCATGGCGTTTAGACCATGCCTCAAAAGTAATCCCACATTCTGGATCAAATGTAAATTCATTTGTTGAATTCGCAATAGAATCCGGAGTCATAGTGGAATTTGATACATTGGCTCTTGGGGATAGTAACATAATTTTGACCAATAATTCAATAAGAGAATTTTGCCATTCCAATGAGTTTTTCATATCATCCATTTTATTGTTACAAAATCCACTTTAATTGAACATATAGGCGTATATCCGTTTTAATCACTGTCGCCAATGTTTATAACGCTCGGTTTTACTTCACCTAATACTTTAACGGTTGGGTTTCCACTTTTACACGTATGGGACGTTAATTTACCTCAGACGAATATCTATACTAGGTTCCCTCCCAGTTTCTATTCTACAGGACTTCAACACAACTCAGATCAAGAACACGTGATTAGCCTGACTAGAAAGTAAATATATTTCCACACCAAAAACCGACACAATCCAACAACAGTGGGCTATGGAGGACAGGACAGTCTGATCTATGTTGCTGGGGCAGCAGACCAGTTTAACTGCTCTTCGAAAAACTCTGCCCATCGTCCAAGACGTCAATGGGTGTTAGTGATTGGCATCCGTCATCCTCACAGACTGTTTCGCTCACACCAGACTTCTTGCTGCCAGTGGATCAGATGGGTTGAAAGGGCTTCCGGCAGTTACCAGATGCAGCTGCTGCTTCCAACTAATTGGCACACCCCGACCACCAGGCTTATTGGTCCTTACTCAAGCTTTACCCAATTTCATTACGTAACAGTCGTCGTTTGTGGTCAAACTCACGGTCACTCGGAGTAGACCGACGGGCTTCAGTGAGTTGTATGGAGCCAGAAGAAACCCATTGCTTACAAGCGGGACGTTTCTCGAAGCCGCAATCGACTTTACTCGCCATTTTCATGGCGTCGTGCAATTGCAACCAATGCTCATCTATACTTTTTGGTGGGATGGTAGCTAGCCTTGAACCTAGCTCGGTTCGATATTTAGTTACAACAGAAGCTGCAACCAATTTACTGACATCCATCTGTTTAGGATGATGAATTTGTTGGCCACTGAAAAATAAAGTAAGATTAGCACAAACAAGGGGATAATCAGAATCCAGATAGGCAGTCCAAAGAATCGGCACACACAACCACGTTAGCGGTAGCTGATCGCGATGAGTCCAGGTTTGAGGTGCAGAGGGAGGGCGCCAGGTTGCTGTTGGGGTGATCCAGAAAATTGCTTGCCCAATTTCATACGTAACAGTCGTCGTTTGTGGTCAAACTCACGGTCACTCGGAGTAGACCGACGGGCTTCAGTGAGTTGTATGGAGCCAGAAGAAACCCATTGCTTACAAGCGGGACGTTTCTCGAAGCCGCAATCGACTTTACTCGCCATTTTCATGGCGTCGTGCAATTGCAACCAATGCTCATCTATACTTTTTGGTGGGATGGTAGCTAGCCTTGAACCTAGCTCGGTTCGATATTTAGTTACAACAGAAGCTGCAACCAATTTACTGACATCCATCTGTTTAGGATGATGAATTTGTTGGCCACTGAAAAATAAAGTAAGATTAGCACAAACAAGGGGATAATCAGAATCCAGATAGGCAGTCCAAAGAATCGGCACACACAACCACGTTAGCGGTAGCTGATCGCGATGAGTCCAGGTTTGAGGTGCAGAGGGAGGGCGCCAGGTTGCTGTTGGGGTGATCCAGAAAATTGCTTGCAAAAGACAAGCAAGCATCAGGAAACACTAAAAAGCGTTTCATCCAATCAGCGTTCACTTGGAGTCTTAGCCAAAAATATCAAGGAATCGAAACGTCACATGCAGAGGCTCTGATTGTTTGGTTGCTACACTGCTACTATGTTTAGTAGCATTCCAGAATCTCCTAGTAACCCAAGGACATTTAAAATATTATAAAAACCCTATATTTTCTGTATTAAAAGGAACCTTGGAGTAAACTACTTCTCACATACTTTGAGTCTTCTCTCTCGTGTTCAGGTCGCTGTATAGTTCTAGCTTGGGGGTTACAGAATAGCTTATGAGACGAATATAGCGTTCAAATCCGCAAGACTTATCAGTTGCATATCGGCGATGACTGTACTGAAAGTTAGTGCTAGCCAGAAACAGGTTGTGGTCTGCGCACAATTGCAGTAGACGGTCCTCGTTATCTAACATGTGACAACAGGTCCCCAATGACCACCTAAACGACTCTCTTCTGTGCTTAGACGCCCGACCTGAGGATTTAAATCTCCGGCTAGTGCTACATTAAATATCGAACGCATTCTCTGTAGAAGAACTGTAAGCTAGTAGAAAAACTCGTCCTTGATCGCATCCGGGTTGTGATCTGTCGGAGCATAGGCGGAGATGGCGACAAGACATCATTTCTAACACCGATTTCTTATTTTGATAGAACTTTTTAATCTAACAACACATAACCGACTGTTAATGGCGATCCAGTCGATCAGTGCTGCTTCAGCTCTAGTGCTTATTTCGACATCAACACCAGCAAAACCAGACGAAGATGCCATATAGTCCCCGTATAAACGCACGTGAGACAAGCTTTTCCAAGCGACAGATGAAGAGCGAATTTGTAGTACTTCACTCGAGTCTTAAATACGGATCTCGGATTGACAACAGACGTCGATATTAAGACTTTCTAGAGACATAACCAACCCTATCTGTTGTCCGATCCTCATTAGTGTCCGAATGCTGAGGGAAGCCAGTTTGGATCGTATACGTGGTTTCGGAAAGACCGTTTCAGTATTCGTATTCGGTGATAGCATTCAAATTTCGATCTGTCAGTGACTCGAGATCGTTTGAATAGAACAGTTTTCACCATAGGCGAGGTTTTGTATAAGTTGAAAAATAAGATACAAAGTGGGAATAAAAAGGGAGTAGATAAGTGATATAGTATATAAAGAAAACATAAAAAAGAACGTGAATTGTCTAGCTTTTAATCGAGGCGAGATTTTCTTCAGTGATTATCGTCATTTCATTTTGTGTGTGGGCTGTGATACTGTCCGGGTGCAGGTGGTTTTTTAGGGGGCCACACCCGGAGCGTTCGATCTAAAGGTCTGATCCACAAGGCAGTGGAGCATCGTGAGGAGATGCAGTCCCATGGTAGCCGGTGACCAACAATTGGTTCATACGCCATTTGTTCCCGCAGGATACTGTAGCCCATGTGCACCATTGGTTTGGAATCAGGGTTTTCCAACTACCTTAGGTGAACTCTCCGTGTCCACGA